CAAGTATTTGATACACTGTTGATATTTCAGGTTTTCCCACTTGCAAAGCTTGTAGAAGACTGTAATTTTTATCATAGGTTCTCTTCAACTGTGAGTGATGGAATCTAAAACAAAAATCCAGAAAAATACAATGTATGATTTTTAAATAATTAATTTCCATTGTATTGTGTGAAACAAGTATTTGATCATATATCAACCAGTAAGAATTTTGGCTCTCACAGACATGTTAGTTGTTCATTAAGAAGCCGTCCTGTTCTCCACTCATTACCTGTATTAACTGCACCTGTTTGAACTCATTACCTGTATAAAAGACACCTGTCCACACACTCAATCAATCACACTCCAGCATCTCCACAATGCTCAAGGCCAGAGAGCTGTGTAAGGACAACAAGGATAAAATTGTAGACCTGTACAAGGCTGGGAATGGCTACAGGACAATAGGCAAGCAGCTTGGTGAAAAGGCAACAACAGTTGGTGCAATTATTAGAAAATGGAAAAGATACAAAATAACGGAAAATCTCCATTGGTCTGGGGCGCCATGCAAGATCTCAGCTCGTGGAGCATCATTGATCTTGAGGAAGATGAGAAATGAGCCCAGAACTACACGGCCAGACCTGGTCAATGACCTGAATAGAGCTGGGACCACAGTCTCAAAGAAAACAATCAGTAACACTCTACGCCGTCAAGGATTAAAATCCTGCAGTGAATGCAAGGTGCCCTTCCTCAAGCCAACGCATGTCAAAGACCGTCTGATGTTTGCAAATGACCATCTGAATGATCCAGAGGAAGAATGGGAGAAGGTCATGTGGTCTGATGAGACAAAAATATAACTTTTTGGTTTAAACTCCACTCGTCATGTTTGGAGCAAGAAGAATGATGAGTACAACCCCAAGAACACCATCCCAACCGTGAAGCATGGCGGTGGAAGCATCATTCTTTGGGGATGCTTTTCTGCAAAGGGGACAGGAGGACTGCACCATATTGTGGGAAGGATGGATGGGGCCATGTATAGTGAGATTTTGGCCAACAACCTCCTTCCCTCAGTAAGAGCACTTAAGATGGGTCATGGCTGGGTCTTCCAGCATGATAACGACCCAAAACACACAGCCAGGGCAACTAAAGAGTGGCTCCGTCGGAAACATCTTAAGGTCCTGGAGTGGCCTAGCCAGTCTCCAGACCTGAATCCAATAGAAAATCTTTGGAGGGAGCTTAAAGTCTGTGTGGCCCAGCGACAGTCCCGAAACCTGAAGGCTCTGGAGGAGATCTGTATGGAGTGGGCCAAAATCCCTGCTGCAGTGTGTGCAAACCTGGTCAAGAACTAAAGGAAACATCTGATCTCTGTAATTGCAAACAAAGGTTTCTGTACTAAATATTAAGTTTCATTGTTCTGGTGTATCAAATACTTATTTCACACAATAAAATGGAAATTAATAATTTAAAAATCATATATTGTATTTTTCTGGATTTTTGTTTTAGATTCCATCACTCACAGTTGAAGAGTACCTATGATAAAAATTACAGTCTTGTACAAGCTTTGCAAGTGGGAAAACCTGAAAAATCAACAGTGTATCAAATACTTGTTCTCCCAACTGTATCAGGCTCCTCTCCTGTGGAACCAACTACCAGTTTTAGTTCGTGAGGCAGACACCCTGTCTACTTTTAAGGGTTGGATTGAAACTTTCCTTTTTGATAAAGCTTATAGTTCAAGTTGTAGGGAAGCGGCTGTTCAAATGGTTGAAGTTCCGAATTCTCCCGAGTGGTGCCCAACTTTACATGAGAGAATAAAGTGAATTTCATCAGTCGATTATTAAGGCGGAGGGATTGTTGTGGTGGAAGGTTTACAAGCAAGTTTGGTTGTGGCCGGTGTCTCGGAAGCATCGTGCTAACCAGTTAGCCACTTGGTGCTAGTAGGTTCCCAATGGGAAATTACATTGGGACCATCCATCCACCCATCTATCCATCTTCTTCCACTTATCCAGGGTCAGGTCGCGGGGGTATCAGCTTCAGTAGGGAGGTCCAGACGTCCCTCTCCCCAGCCACTTGGGCCAGCTCCTCCAGGGGAATCCCAAGGCGCTCCCAGCCAAGAAAGCTCTTCCCGGTGGGACGTGCCTGAAACACCTCACCAGGGAGACATTCAAGAGGCACCCTAACCAGATGCCCGAGCCACCTCAGCTGGCTCCTCTCAATGTGGAGGAGCAGCGGCTCTACTTTGAGTCCTCCATGGATGACCAAACTCCTCATCATTTCTCTAAAGGAAAGCCCAGACACACTATGGAGAAAACTCATGTCAGCTGCTTGTATCCTGGATCTCATTCTTTTGGTCATGACCCAAAGCTGATGACCATAGATGAGGGTAGGAATGTAGATCGAACAGTAAATCGAGGGCTTTGCTTTTTGGCTCAGCTCTGTCTTCACCACAACAGACTGGTACAGTGCACGCTTTATAGCAGAAGCCGCACCAATACACCTATCGATCTCCCGCTCCATCTTCCCCTGATTTGTGAACAAGACCCCAAGATACTTAAACTCCTCCACTAGGGGCAGCACATCCTCCGCAACCTGGAGAAGGCCCTCTACCCTTTCTTGCTCAAGACCATGGTCTTGGATTTGGAGGCACTGATCCTCATCGGGGCCGCTTCACACTGGGCTGCAAACCAAGTAGCACTAAATTGGTGACTTAGAAACAACACTGTCAAGAAATGCTATGGACAGCGGAAACATGGATGAGGAGGAGAGTTTTGTGACGGGGGTCGTGGATAGGTCTCCTCCGTCATCCATTTTTTATTTAGAGGAGGAAAGCGGGGACGAAGATGTTGTGGAAGAGGACGCCAGGACGGCAGAAGCTTGGTTTGGTGTAGAAGGCTTACAGCTGTATATGTTTGAGCCCTTGCCTCGCAACGCTGCCAGTTCTGTTAGCTCTACGCCTGCTGAAGACACAGACGTCCATCCCCATGTACACTGGGATGGAACTTAATGGGAAAGGAAATTATTCCTATTTCTTATTTCAACTGTTGCATATAGTAGCTGTGACATATGAATCAAGATGCTATGACCGAAACATTTTGATTGACAGATGACCGTTGATATATGATTTGACAGGATTTTTTGTTAAATAGAAATGTTCTAACTTTTGGGACAATATGGTCTGATAAAGAGTATGTTTATATACATGTTTAAGAAAGAAAGATTTGAAATTTAAATATGAATTCCCTACGGCTTTAAAAGTAATGTTGTCTTATTCACTGGATGAGTAGAGGGGTAGGTGGAGGTAGTCTAAAAAGAGGAAGTA